CCCCCAAATCTCTAACTCCAATCCGAAGAAGCGCTTCTCCAACTTAATCACCGCACACCAAATTCTCCTGTTTTTGCAGACATGTTGCCATATCTTCCCGGCCACAGGAAACTCGAGTGAATCTAGCTCGTCCCATAAAACTAGGATAGTTCCACCACCATGGTTAGCTAACTGAATTGTCGTATTAACATGAGGCTTTGGACACACATCTTTCAAACCCTTAACACTCAACCACTTTCCAGGCTCTGAGTCATCATACCACTTAAGCATACGATTAAAAACAGTAAACTTTACACTTTCAATAATGCACCAAGGTCCACTCGTAAGTCTCATTCTAAAATTAAAAGAATTTAAAGAAAAGACTAGATTTTCTTTCCATGCTCCTTGTTTGGAGTCATATGCATACTTTTTATACTTACTTATGGCGAGTAGCTCTCCTCTACAAAGCTGAACCTCGGCGTCATCACTGAGGCTAGGCAATGGCTTCCAAGTCTGAGACTTTAGGTCGAAAACCTCAGGCTCCTCTGTTCCTCCTCCAACTACATATATCTTGCCGTCTATAAGAGCAGACTCGGGGCGTTTCCTGGCTACCCTCATATCAGGAGCATCACGCCAAGTGCGAGTCCGAAAATCAAACACACGAACGGCGGATGATGGGAGCTTGTTGCCTCCCAATATGTAGATTTCGGAACCGACAGCTAAAGTGGTTGACTTTGATGGAGAGAGGGAAGTGATAGGGAATAAGTTAAACTCATTACCATTACTACTGTCGGTACATAGTGCTTGGTCAAGAACGTACCAACGATCATGAGTGGGTAACTCTTGACGTATGCAGAGGCAAGGCTCTGTGTTTCCGATCTGGTAGCGAACCGTGTAGAGCTCTGGGGAAGAGATGAGAGAGTGGATGGCCTTGGAGACTAAGGAGAGTGAACGGTACTGAGATTTAGAGATGCGTGCTAAACAATTCAAACCGATGTCATCTGGAAGTTGTGAAAACCACCCTGTATTAGTATTCCTCTCCCCCTTCTTCTTCTTCTTCTTAGGTGGTTGATCAACTTTGGTGATTCTTTCAGGTCTTGAATATAAGCCAGGCATGGTGGAGACTGTATTAGTATTCCTCTCCTCCTTCTTCTTCTTCTTCTGCGGCGGGTGATCAACTTTGGTGGCTCTTTTAGGTCTTGAGAATTACCTAGCTCTGGTCGACCAGTTTTACTTTCACTTGTTTAACATGCTGTATTGGGACAATATATTCTCCAACATCGGTTTCACCAATGGATCTCGAAAGACATAAACCACCAGGCCTCCATCGAAGTGGGCCCCTGACCTATTACGTTATCAATTTCACATTTTGTAAAAAAGATATATTATGAATATATCTCAAATATTTGAGATTTTTATTTTCTTGTGTTCTAAATATTTAGTACTATTCGGACATAGTATTTTTAGATTTTCAGATTTTCGAAGTACTGGTTCAAATTCAGTTAATAACATTTAGGTTCAGATATATTTTATGTCAATCTATATGATCCATTTGGATATTTTAAATTTTGGATCGAATATGGATTCAGATTATTTTATGTTGCAAAGAAAACCCTAGTTAACATGAAAATTTTGTGAGGTTTGTGAATCTACACATCTTGATCTAAGAGTGTTTCCATCCATTTTCATTTTCTTATTCCACAATATGATTTAGAATAAAATTTACTCCTTTTCATTTTTTCTTTGGGAATTCGGCAAAAAAAAAACACGAACTTTGTATAAATTGCCAAAAAATATATGAATTTTTGAACTACCCGAAAAAACCACAAACTTTTAATTGATTTTAGAATTAGTTAAGAATGTTTTCGTTGACTTGCCAATTTAGCACGCCTTCACTAAATTTAACAGAAAAATTTGGCGTCGTTTATTCTACACTGAACACTGCGTAGCATTGAAAAGTGCTTTGATAGTATCGTGTGCAATTCATCCAATAAGCCCGGGTACTTAAGAGTGAATAAGTTCAGAACTGATTTTTCTGTATTTCCCATGGCGATCTGAAATAACAAAAAAACTATTACAGGAAATATAAAATGAAGCTGTAGAAATGCACATGAATGAATACAAACCTGGATAATTCCTGCGTTTTCAGAGCAATGCACCATCTTGTTTCTCAAAAACCTAACCAAGTCGATAAGCACCGTAAAGTCGTACTGGTTGTTGTTGTGCATGCTTAGTAGCTGTCCCATGGCGATCTGAAATAACAAAAAAAACAATTACAGGAAATATAAAATGAAGCTGTAGAAATGCACATGAATGAATACAAACCTGGATAATTCCTGCGTTTTCAGAGCAATGCACCATCTTGTTTCTCAAAAACCTAACCAAGTCGATAAGCACCGTAAAGTCGTACTGGTTGTTGTTGTGCATGCTTAGTAGCTGTCCCATGGCGATATGAAATAACAAAAAAACAATTACAGAAAATATAAAATGAAGCTGTAGAAATGCACATGAATGAATACAAACCTGGATAATTCCTGCGTTTTCAGAGCAATGCACCATCTTGTTTCTCAAAAACCTAACCAAGTCGATAAGCACCGTAAAGTCGTACTGGTTGTTGTTGTTCGTGCTTAGTAGCTGTCCCAAGTTGTAAGGTAATTTCGAAAGCCATGAATGACCCAGAAACCTCATTGCACTTCTGGCTAGGTCATTCTCTACAGATTGAGGATGTGGACCTGGATAAAGGATGGAGTGTGCAGCCATAAAGAATCGAACCTTCTTTGCAAATACATTGAAAGTGCCACTAGCCTAGTGGTAAAGTACCTTGTCATTAATTCAATCAACCTGAGTTCGAATCCAAGGGTCTACTTGTTTTTATTTTTAAATCACGTAAAACGACGTCGTTTCATTTAACGCCTATATTTAACGTCAAGTTAACACAGTCTTAACGGCTCATTAACGGTGTGTCAAAATGGTGAGTCAATCGTAATTAAGTTTCTTAATAAACTAACAAAATCAACAAAAGTATAGGTTTCTTTTGGCCAGGCTCGAGTACATGTTTCTTTTGGCAATTAGTGCAAAGTTTGTGTTTCTTTTTTGTCGAATTCTCTTTTTTCTTTAATATGTTTTTGGTTTTAAGTCGAAAACCTACAATAACTATTATCAAGAGCTGTCTCTGTTATCTCCATGCCACTTAAAATTCTTTTCACTAGTCTTGATGCCTTTCCTCATATATTTTCAAGGCTGGAGTAAGTTGATGACTTTACTAATCAAACCTATTTTATTTCAATGAGCCACAAAAAATTTACCTATCAAAACAACTACAAAAATTGTTAAAATCAGTTGGGAAAAATGAGATTATAACATAAGTTCATATTCCTCTTTTGCTCAGGGTTCTTTTAAAACGTAACTTAAGTGTTCTTTTGGCTTACATTCGTAAGCATTTGTTGAAAGAAGAGCATTTGATGAATAAGAAAACCATTCCCTAGTATTTTGGCTTCTTATCGTGCATGTGTGAATCAAGTACTACTGACCTAGAAAAAATGCATGTCATTTATTCTTAAATGAAGATATAAAGAAAGACGAGACTCTAAACTGTCTACTTCAAGGGTTCCAGTGTTCAAAGTGTGATAAACTTATCGAAAGCTAAGATGAGAAGCATTTCAGAATTATAAAGACTGGAGATGGGAAATTTAGAAATGGGTCATCATAGTGATTACACCAACCTTCAATCCTTATATTTTAACCTTCTATATGATGAGTCGTCTGGAGAGACTCAACTAGCATGTGTCGAAGTAATACAAAGAGTTATTGGTCACACAACTCCAGATATTCTGGTCAGAACAAGGTCTCAATGGATAAGATGCCTTCAATATCTGCTACTTCATGTAAATACAGATGTAAGGGAAGCATTATGTGTGCAGATTGGTATCTTTTTACAGAAACCTATTGTGAGATGTTTGTTTCTTGATGAAGATGCCATAGAAAAAAGTTGTGAAAGGATTTTTTTTATTTGATTGAGCATTCGCTAGCAACAGCTAAAGATATGCTTGTCATTCAGTATTTTGGTCCTTTCACAGTGTTGGAGCATGTGGGTTAAGTAGTTTATAGGCTTCAGTTACCTCCTGAGAGCAAGATCCATCCGGTGTTTCATGTTTTCCAACTGAAACTGGTACTGGGGAAGAGATACGAGGTGACTACTTTGTCGGAGATGTAGGAGGAGAACGAAGAATTTATCATAAAGCCAGAACATATACAAAGCAAAATATACAAAGCACTCGTTATGATGCAGAAGGTCATCTTGAGACTTTGGTTCACTGGAAGGGTTTACCTGGCCATGAGATTGCATGGATTCGGGTGAAGGATATTCCAAGAAAATACCCTGATTTCAAGCTGGAGAACAAGATGGGCCTTACCGAGGAGGATAATGATAAGAGTTGGAGAGTGTATTTCAGGAATAGACTAAGAAATAAGGCAAATAAGAGAGCAGCTAATCACAAAATTGAAACGATGGAATGACAAGGAAAAGAGAGTTTATCATAACGGCCTGGTCGGAGTTTGTTAAGAAGTCAGTTACAAATCATTGTTGATTAGAAGTTGTATAAATAGTGCGCTTGAGTTATTTTGTAAATCGGCTTTGTTATAATCTGAGATCGGACTCTTAAGTGTAACTTGAAAGAGGGATATTTAGCTTGTATTAAATCGACTGTTATACAAAGCAATAATACTTACTATTCTATATACTATACTCTATCAGAGACTAACACTTTCAAAGATCTTAAACACATAGAAAGAGACGGGCTAAGTAAATAATAGCTAAGATATATAAGCAGGAAGCCATAGAAACATTTAGCAGCCACACATACTATCGATGGCAGAGTTAGAGAAGAGAGGAAAATTTTCTGCAGCCTAAGCTTACTTAAGCATGATTATTCAAAGTCTGCAGATTTCAATTTGAGCTGACACAGATATATCATAGACACGTGAAACTGTACATAACCAAGCATAATTCTTCTCTGCAAATTCTTTATCCCGAGAAGCAAGGTATAAAGAGCAAAAAATATTGTTTGATTAAGGGCAAAGCATTAACCTAAGGTGTAGCATTAACTAAACTTCTGAACTTGTTTTTTCTTTTGTGAAACATGTTAACTAACCTGAACCATCTATAAATGCTACTGCTAAACCCTAAACTTCTTAGACGCATCTATGTAACTGTAACATGGATTCACAATCAAATGCTTCAGGATTGTTTCGTAGTGTCACCCGCCAACCAAGACAGGAAACAGGTTCTGATTTGTTCTGAGTATGTTTCATAGTCACACATGCCAAAAGAAAGTAACTATTCAATCAAAATCTCGAAAGGAGGGTCTCAGATGCTTGAGATCCTCGTGGTCTATGTCACAACGTAGCTGATGAATCTCCACGGTTCTTGTCATCCAAACCTGAAAAGAAAGTTTGATACATCTTACTGTTTTATCGATCCACATTTTGTCCTAACAAACAAAGTGATCCATTCTATCTAGAGAATGGTTTACATTAGCACGAGACTGAAGAGTGTTGGAATGCTCAGGATATAGAAAAGCCATAACTATAGAGCTTTTTTCTTGTATTAGCAAAACGAGAAATCTTAAAGATGATGTGTCTTATCAATGACAAGAAAAGAGAAATAATACCTTTTCGCACATAGAGAAGATGGCTCCCAGATCTTCCACAATCATGTGGAATGAACAACGGCAAGCTTTTTAAATCAATGGAATCATCCAAGAGAGGCTTCTTGTTAAAACCAGAGTACATCTCACTGACTTGTCTCTGCAACCCAGCAAATTGAGGCATAACATCGCTCCAACTATCAACTGAAAGATTGTTACCAAAAAACTTAAAAGCACCCTTTCTAGTTGCTTCAACAGCTACAAAAAAAAACATGATAAAGAAGTTCAGCAAACGAAAGATTAAGAAAGTTCAAAGAGAGAGAGTGAGTGTACATACTGTTATAAGGAGCTGCAAGAAGAAGGTTCGTGGGGAGACCAATGCCGAGACCAGCGAGTGTAATGCCAACACTGAAACCAACACCACATCCAGCACCGACATAGCCAATGACCTCAGGGCCAAAACCAGGTCCCCATCCAACGCCACAGCCAATTCCAATACCCATTCCCCAAAAGGCTCCATAAGTAGGGTGAACAGGATTCCATTTCTCATATCTCCTGAATATACCCTTTATGATCATCACCACCTGCAAAACAAAAGAAAATACTATGAAGAATACCTTTTGACCCACTACAAAAGATCTTCTACTCAAATCCAATTGCACCCACTACAAAATACTATCACCAACAAATTAAATATCGATAAACCAGTTCCAATTTACTTGGTGGCAAACTGGGATTAATCTAAGAAGAAGCAGAGACATCTAAGACTTAACCATTAATGGATTACTGTTTCAGTTTTCGATCTTTGCTTTCTTCTTACAGTTAATTCGATTCCGCATATGCAAACACTCTTCGTTTCAGCCTTTTTTTTCGAAGAACACCGAGAACCACTCCATTGTCGTTTATTGCTCAAGGATAAAAGAAGAATAAAAATAAGAATAAGAATAAAAAAAAAAGAAACCGGTCTGGCAGGACCTGACCGGTACAATTCAATCCGGTTTACTAATCTAAATAATCCCTAATTATTTTTTTTTTTAAAAATTGCAGAATACACAAGTGAGAAAGCCAAAGGAAGTTGTTATCATTTGGCCACCATTGTTGAGTTTCATTTCATGGCTAGCATGCAGGCCCGGCCATGGAACAGACAAAATAACCAACTGTTTAGGGTCCATAATAAATTTTAGATTTTTAACTTAAAAAAAAAGTCCAATTTTTTTTAAAAAAGATTACCTTAAAGAGAAAGAGCCCAAAATTTTATTTTAAGTAAGGCCTTATTAAAGTTTGGGCCGGCCCTACTAATATGGTCGCTTGGAACAGCACAGACCAATCTTTGAACGTTCTCTTTCTTCTCTTCAACTGACTTGTAGCTAGTAAGCAATAATTGCATCTCTTTAATTGCTTAGAAACAAGCATTGTTATGAAACGCGTTAGGTGCTAGTCGGCCCTAATGGAAAAATCGGGGATTAATCGACGATTACGCGAGGCGGAATTTTAAGATGTTTTTATAAATAGATAGTATTATATACAAGAAATGTTAGTTAAACATAAAAATGTTAGTTAGCCAGGTGGTTTTTGGCCCATTATTGCCACAAAAAGTCATGGGTTCGAGTTTACTCACCCACATGTTTCATTTTTTTAATTAAATTTAATGCATATGAAATTACGAGAATGCCATCATCTTCTCCTTCTCAAAACCTGCAAAACCCTAGATTGGCCGCCCTCCTTTTTTATTTTTCATTGATTCTCGCAGATTTAACTTGTTTTTATTATTGTTACTACTCAAATATGATAGATCTATCATTAATCTGAAGATTTCGAACTCAAACCCTAAAAAAAAAAGTTTCAACCACCAATTTTTTAGCCGCCCACATCCAAATCCTGGCGGTCTCCCACCGCTCAACGCCTATCCGACGATTACACGGCCCTAGGCGGCGCGTTTTCGAACAGAGGAAACAAGCCATCTCGGTAACATAACAGCCAATGCATCATGAAGGAGACTTTATGAACAACTTTTAGAATTTTATGAACAACTATATTATAGCATGTCAAAAAACATAACAATATTACACTAGTAGAAAGTTTAAGAACATTATAAACAACTTTCAGATAAATGAAAAAAAAAATAAACACACCACACATATATAATTGATATGGTTGGTAACTAAAGTATAAATAATTATTCATATCTTATGTATATCATTAATATATAAGATACAAAAATAAAAAGACTATTAGCTATTTTATTTTATTTTTAATTATCTATATAACTTTCAAAAGAATGTTTTTAAAAAAAGTTTTGTAAAGAGATTTTTTTTAAATATGTATAAAATTATTTATCTGTTTTAAAATAAATTATAGCTTTTTACGGATTTGTAGACTAAAAAGTAACTTCAATTTATTTTTTGATATCTAGAATTAGTGTATCATTTACTTGAAAACTAAATTTTATATGCATATTTTTTATATGATTATCTATATAATACACAACTACTAAAAATTATTAATTACTAATTGTATTTTATTTTTAATTATACATATATATCTATATATATAACATACAAGGATATTTTAAATGTTTTTTGTTAATTAATTCATTTAATGTGAAATAATTTACCAACTTTTACAATAAATACTGAATTTATTGTTTGTAATGGAAAATCTTAAATATATCAGTTATATAAAATTATTATTTTTATTTTAAATTATATTATAAATAATTTTTATAATATTATCTTAATAATAATTATGTAACAAATTTATAACCACAATTTTATTTTTATTATTATCTATAAAATATTAAAGGGGAAGTTTCAAATCTTTATTTTTGTAAATATTTATTTAATTAAATGTACAAGATACTTGATAACACAAACCCAAGAATTGATGATATATTTTCTTTAAATGCATATTTTTGATCATCATTATTGGTAAGTATGATTTTTTTTCATTGATATGTTTAGTTATTGGTAAGTATGATATGTTTAGTTATTGATATAAGTTAGTTCTTGATTTAATGTTTTTAAATTGAATTAAATATATAAAAAATAAAAATTTATTAACTAATCAAATTAAAGCATTCTTATGAGTGAGTGATACATCAACAAAAATCATTAAAATAACTTTTCAATTAATATATATAAGACAATAGATGAAAACAAAAAAAAAACAGAGCAGAGAACACTTAGACGAAAACTTAAGTATTAAAACAAATTGAAGAACATAAGTAAATTGTGTAGTCGGTGGTAGACATCAAAAGCAATGGTTCGTGACAATCATTGCGTACACTTGCTGCAACATAGTAGTGATGTCCTGTCATTGATAATCACCTCGTATTTGTGTTCTTTCTGTGTAATGAAATTGAACCATGGTCTCATGTTTCTGAAACTTCCAAGGACTTCCTCATTATGTAGAATATGACCACATTCTTAGCACTTGTAGTGGATCTTCATGTATATCCTTTGAACACAATTTGATAGAAATTTCATACATTAGAGTTTCCTACTCTGTAAGTGAAACCACAACTCATCAAGAGAAATACAAGACACTTTTATCCCTAGATACATTTTCATACCCCTTCAACTAGAAACATTATCCTCTGCTACATTTGAATCATTTTGCACAAAGCTAGAGACAGAGCTGCCACCACTCCATGATACAAATATTCATGTTTCACAATTATGCTGCAATTATGAGCTGAGATGTATTCATATCGAACTCATGTGTTACCCCTTTCTTATAGTGTTAGCATACATTACATTCATTTTAATGCAAGTAACTTAGTCTCAGCGTTCTTGTCATCAAAAGATGTCATGTTGTTCCAAACTCATCATACTCAAAACATTATGTGCTCAAGAGGCACACTTTTTCTTCATTCATGTCGGTTTTCTCTTTAACATGGATCAATGAGCTCTAGAATTGCAGTATAACTCTTCATAACATTCTACCAAATTAACCATAACAGATTACTAATTGTGTTTATTAGGCATTACAAGTGAAATTAATCAACTTAGACTATTTTGACTTGGTCTTAGTCCAAACAGTGATCAAAATTAAACACAAACTTTTGTATTAGCCTGGTCCAACATTGGTATTTATCATACAAAGACTCTGAACTGTGACATGATTATTTAAACCACAGTAGGTTGACATTTACCACAAGTAAAACGAAAATCTCATATATCAATAGGACGTTAGCCAACTCTAAATGCAATCATCTAAGGAATATATTGAAATCAGTTCCATTAAATTCAAAACACATCAGATGTGAGAATTTTTGCTTCATTTACAATTTAAGATAGATGGTTTACCTTAAACAATTTAAATATGTGTCAGTATATTTTGAAGTCAACATGATACCATTTGAATTATAATAACAATTTTTTTAAGCTTTTTTTCTTAAGTTCTAGTTTCAAATGTACTTCCAAATAGTAAATGTGATTGATTTTGCAAGTGATCTCAAAAATGAGATCATGTAAAATTTCATTTTCTTGCTTCATCATGAAACCCCTGTGTAGCTTTATCCACCATCTCCAGTTGATCAGGGATAAAGAAGAAAAATGGAATGATTCATGTTTCTAAAGATGAGTTTTATATAAAGAAGAATGGTAAGACTGAATTAGAAAACTAAGATGAATGTTCATGAAGATAAATTATTTACAAAAATTATAAATACAAAAAAAAAACAAATTCTAAAGATGAGATGATGGAGATGAGTTTTATATAAAGAAGAATGGTAAGACCGAATTAGAAAACTAAGATGAATGTTCATGAAGATAAATTTACAAAAATTATAATTACAAAAGAAAAAAAAATCATGAAATGTGACTAGGTTGACTAGAGAGGTCTCTATGATAGTTTTGAGTTTTTAAACAAAGACAATAAGGTATGGACTTAAAACAAATAATAACTCTTTTAATAACTAAATTGTAAATTAAAGAACCAACAACACTAGATTCCAAAATCCATTACTAAAGCTATTACAAATACAATAATTAATAACACAAGATTTTAATAAATTAAAATCAATCATTGAATAATAATAGACTATACAACTTAAAGATTTAACTTTAATTCCACTATTGAATAAGACCATCTTACACTTATATATGTATTAAGAACCTCGTGTTGAGAACTCCACAATGGAAGTGCTCTAAGTTTGCATTTCGATTTACATATAACAATATCTTATACAATAAAGTTGGCCTCTCCCTTCTTAGAGAGCCACATCAGCATTTATGAGGGGGGCAAAAAAAGACATGTCAGCAATCATCCAATTAAATTATACCGACCAAATTTTATCAATCCGTTTCGGTTTAAATTGGTTTTCTTTTTACGGTTTTGTGGTTCATGATAGGCTTTGTTTTTGGTTCGTACATGGCCATTTTAAAGGTTTTCATGGGCTTTGTTTTTGGTGTCTTAGAGGCCCATTTTTTTTACGTTTTCTTTGTCTGTTCTCTTCGATGACGAGGAGTCTCCTCATCCGTATCGACGCAGGAAGCTTATATAGCCAACGTAGAGATCAAAATGTGAAACACTTAAAAATGGAGATCCCTAAGTAAAAACTTCATCAAGCTTTGATTCCAGCTATGGATACTTCCTAAATTGTGTCCGCTACCGCTGCAGTTGTTTCAATGGAAACAATGATAGCTCCTCCATGATGAATTAGATATGTTCGGTGGTTCATCTCAGACATGATTTTTGACATTGATACTCCTTGTGAGGCCTCCGATCATCTCAAGGTATGCACTTTTTACTCTAACCTCTCTCTCTCTCTCTGATAGTATATTAACCAAATGGTAATCTCTATCTTATCAGAGTTTGATGTCATTCTCGCGAGCATCACCGAGAGGAACGTCTTATCCAATGTGTCAAAGATAATATATAAGAGCAAATCAGTGAAAG